TGCTTTTACAATGTCACCAAATGGCTTTTTGCATCTGGAACAGAGGCTCTGCTGTTTCTTCAAGCAAATAAGAAATGTTTTTTCATGTGATTTCATCCATGCATCATTCTATTTTGTCTGTTTTACCAGGCGAACCAGGATTGTTCATGACTCAGGTGGACTCGGGCAGAGTAGCCTACAACGCTGGAGTCAGAAACGAAGATCGTCTGCTCGAGGTCAACGGGGAGAACATAGAAAGCTACACGCATGACGAAGTGGTGGAAAAGATCAAACTGGGAGGGAAAAGCGTCATGCTCCTGCTTGTTGACAAGGAAACGGACAGTTTCTATCGCAACAAAAAAAACAAGATAGGATCATGGTTGGCAACAGTAAAGTTTCTCCCACTGCAACCGCGCTTCATCAATTTGACCAAAGGGTCTAATGGATATGGATTCCTGCTCAAAGAGGATCCAGGCCAAGGAGGCAAGGCCAAAAAATAACCCTGTGTGTTTCACTGCAGAGAAGGGGTTGTGGTTTAACGACACGCTCCATGATTTCTTGCAGGACACTTCATAGGGGAAGTAGACAAAGGCAGCCCTGCAGATAAAGCTGGCCTGCGGAAAATGGACAGAGTTGTTGCTGTCAACGGGACGGATGTGGACAAATGCAGCCACAAACAGGTGGTGGACTGGATCAGGCTATGTGACAACACATGCTCCTTCCTTGTGGTGGACAAAGACACGGACCAAATGTACAAGCAGGTGAGCCACCTACTCACCTGTAGTCTTTCTAGTTCTGCTTACAACGTTGACAACATGCTAAGGTAATCATGTTTCATGTCTCACAGGGTAAGGTGTCTCCGATGCTTTTCTGGGAGGAGATGAAAGGTTCTAACTCCCCACCCAGTTACACCGAAGCTTTGAGCTTACCTGCTCCTGCCCAAACATCCATGGCTGGAAGAGATAAAACGGAGGAACTGAGACCCAAACTGTGCAGAATGGAGAAAACCTCTGCCGGTTATGGCTTTCACCTAAACGGCATTGAAGGGGTGCTTGGCCAGTACATCACAGAGGTAAGATCAACAAGAACAAGCACTGTCTGAGGGAGACTACTCCACAAGAACCTGGTTAAAATCACCTCTTTTCAGGTGGTGAAAGGCGGTGCAGCAGACAAGGCTGGAATGGAGAACGACGACGTTGTGATAGAGGTGAACGGTGAGAATGTGGAGCAGAGCACCCATGCTGAGGTGGTGAACATAATCCGCAGAAGTGGCAACACTCTGGAGATGCTGGTGGCCAGACAGGATGTCTACAAACAGCTCAAAGCCACAGGTGTGAAGACCACACCGCTTCTCCTTGGGGAGACCTTCAAGGGGAAAACTCGCACTGCAGAGTCTCCAAAACCAAACAGGGAAGAGGAAAAGCAGCAGCAGCAGGAGGAGGAGGATGAAGCCAGGCCAGAAACTCCACCTCAACAGGAAAGACAGAGGGTGAGTGGTGCTATTTACCATCACCGGTCATATTTCTAACCAGCATGGTGTTAAATGTGACTGTTCTGATCCACTCTGGGATATTTTGTGCAAATTGTCACAGTATCTAATTGTGAACAATTAGAGTATAATTTCAACTATGTCCCTTGACATTCTTAAAGAATATTTTAGAATCTAAATCATGCCACGGTAAATATATACGATTAACAAGAGTGTCGAGATTAAAGTTATACTGCTGATTATTTCACCACATAACATTTTGTTGCTTTTTGTTAAAGTGCTCCGGAAAGTCATTGATGTCATTTGAACTTTTCACATCTTGTCATGTTACAACCACATATTCCATTGTACTTCATCGATTACCTACATGTGGCTTTCATTTTGGTTCAGCTGAAATATGACAAACAAAAATGTTATCGTACTTTCTGTTCCTACTTTTAGACTCCCTCTGTGTCATCATCTTCGTCTGAAGACGGCATCGACGAGAGACTCTGAAACGACGCCCAAAGGAACAAATCCTAGATGTGGCCGAATCTGAAGAGTTTGTTTTTAAAGCTCTCTGAGCTTCACACATTCCGGTGAAACATACGGTAGTAAGAGAGATGACAACAACAACTAAAATAATAATAATAATTACAGCACTCGGACTGAGAAATTGCCCACAAAAGCTGATTCATAGCAGAATAGCTGCTATGAATCAGCATAGCAGCTATTCTGCTATGCTGATTCGCTGCTGCTGGCGACAGTTCGCCAGCAGCAGCAATCACATCCTGTGCAACCAGCTGTGATTCCGTATTTATACGGAACTCCTGCAAGTTCCTCATGGAACTTGCAGGGGAAAAAAACATTTTGTGCCTTTAAGAAAAACTTCAGTGCTCTCCTCATTCACTGAAACCTCAAGGAGGTGATTAACCAAAAGGATAAATGCAACTTTAACTTGCATACATGTACTATATTCATTCTCATAACACAGACAATGGCTGCAAGAAGGTGGCTACTAACCTAAACAAGTCCACATCTACAGTCAAAGCTTAAAATAGATGGAGCTGTGACAAACAAAACTTGAAGAAACCAAATGCTCTTTTACCATTACACCCAGAAAGAAGGACCATAAGTAAAAAAATAAAAATAAAAACTTGCTCCATAAAGATCAGGGTAAGAGAATCAAAGCAAAGCTTTAGATTTGTGATCAAATAAGATAACACTTTAACAAATTTTACACATTTTTACCAATGTAAAATGGTAAAAAGGTGCCAATAAATGTTGAGGGCGCTGTATTGTTTTGATCAAAGCTTGTATTGATATATAGCCCCTTTTGCAAAACCTGAGATAATCGTTGTCAACATAGTTTAAAATCATCTCTGTATGCAGTAAACATGTATTTTCTTTCCTTTATTTAATATTTGACATGAAAGTTCACATTTCTTACATAAAATAAAAAAAATCAACACATTCCATCTGAGTAAAGGCTGACTTTTTGAGTGCCTGCTTTCTTCCCTAATTGAATGACATATCTGAACATTAAAAAATAAAAAATAAAAAATCACAGTTGGGAAAACCTGCAGTGAAACAAGAAATGTGTGTCGTTTCAACCAGTGTGTTAAAACATAAAGATATAAAGAATTAACCAAAAGTGTACAAAATTAACAGCAAGGAAAGAACCCTATTTGTTTCATTTGAATGACTTTCTGTAAATACTCTGCTTTCAGTTTGCAAAGTTCCTTCAGCATGTGCTCCAATAGTCACCCTAAAAAATGTTTGTTTCTTTTGTTGTTGTTTTTTTTTTTTCCTGATTCAGGAGTAAATGCCTCAAAAATGATTTCTGTATCTCTCAGAACTGCAGAATAAAATTCAGCCCACGCATCAGTGAAGGCTAAACACGCCACAGGTGTTCAGATGGCCATGTGTTTTTCTGGTGCCTGCTTGTGGGCGAGGTAAAGGAAGAGGATGCTGGACAGAGCGCTGACCAAGAAGATGACGTCAAACCAGCGGTGGTAGAAGTTGAACTGGAGCTCTCCCAGAACCTCTGTCACGATGGAGCGGTACTCCAGCGGCATGCTCATGCGCATCAGCAGCACAGATGAAACAAAATACATCCCCTTATAGATTCAGATAAAAATAAAAATTAAGAAATGGATTCAAATTTAACTCCAGGCTGCAGGAAGTACTCGACTCTGAAGAAAAACACACTCACCATGATCTGAGCGAGGACAAGCACGATGACATTGGAAGATTTGCTGCTTGATATTGCGTAGAAGAACTAAAATAAAATGAAGGTGACAATATTCAGAAGATGGAAGCTGAAAACGATAACTTTTCAAGAAAGAAAATGTGCATGTGTGTTAAATATTTGAGTTGAAAAATATTTGGCCTTCGGCATAACTGTATAATCTTTGCCACATGTTAAAACGTGACAGACTGCAGGTTAGAGGTTTTAATCTGAATTTAAGTGTGCACACTTTAACTAATGGGCCATCATTACCTTTGTGAGTGTGATAAGCAAACCTCGTATGGAAGTGACAATTATTATTCCAACCAGGATGAAGGAAATATGCTGGGACCAAAATTTCACCTGGAACACAGAAAAGAGGAGAAAACGTAAAAAGAAAGCCAAAACCTTTGGCGTTTTAGATTCCTCCCTCAGAACCTGAACCTCTTGGACTCAACAACTGCTGTTATGTGAACACACATGAACAACACATGGTTAACTGCAGAGACAACAAGGCAGAAAATTATCTTTACAAGAGGTCATTCCAGGTGATCCTGGGGGATTAGTTGGAGACATAAACAAATTTCTGAAAAGTAAATCATTAAATGTATTTGTAAGCTTAAATTCGGAGTTGATGTCAAGATTAAAGAAGCAGAGGTTGCAGAGAGGGATAGGATAAATTCATGCAGTGATCATTGAAAGTAATAGAAAAGCTCTCAGAAGTAATGAATTCATACACAAGTGTGTTTCTTACATCAAACTGGATGCCCAAGTAGTTCACTGTGATTTCGATACCCCTGGTCACCGGATCCGTCTTTCCAACTCGATCAAACACTATGTTTATCGTTGCCTGTAAATGGAAGAAAGGTTTAAAAGTGAAATCAGTGACAACACGCCTTTTAAAGTAAATATATAGCCAGCAGGAAGTGACGTGAATGTTTATGTGAGATGTAAAACACGAATGCGGTGTTCCTACCATGAAGATTTTCCAAACACAATAGATGGAAAAGAAGTAACCAAGAAAGTTGAAGTATTTCCCTTGGAAGGTCTTTGAGTACTCAATTCGCTCCTAAAGAAAAAAAAACAACACAAAACAAGACAAATCATCCATCGCATAATTACAAAAGGTAAACTAGTTATAAATAAACATACTAGAAAATAAGCTGATGCTCATGCATGTTAAATGTTTACTCCAGGTGAGAAAATTCTGCTGGTTTCCATCAAAGATAATCATAGGTTTATGTGGTAATTAACATTAAAATTTATAAATTTTTTGTGGCAACAGCTGTAAAATTAATCACACCACCTTCAAAACGTGTTAATTACAGCAGCGTTGTGCGTGAAAACATTCAAAACGTTGACGACAAGAGAAACTTGAGCTGAGCATAAAACGGTGCTACATTTGGTGAGGGCCTGGTGACTGCTGTGTGTGTAGCCACAGTTAACGGTGTATTTGAACCCGTGTAAACAAATATGATACTAAAGAGGTAAACCAGCCCTTAAGTGCTTTAAAAGTTGGTTGGCCTCAGTTAAAAGCACAGTCATTGCAGGCACTTTTGCCATTAATATACCTAATTCATTTTCCGTTGGAGAATAAGGGCAGCTGTACTGATGATTGAGCTAAATATAGAAAATACAGTGGTGCATTCGCCCTTTCCTGATTTCAAACAGGGTAAAATTATATAAAAGCAGGACATCATGAATTACTTAGGCAGGATAATCTGCATGTTCAGCAAATGCTAGTCTCCTACCCAATCAACATACTAGGTCCAAATTCTCGGACACACACTTGTTTACCTTGGTGGCTTGCAGATCCACCGTCTCCAGGAAGAGTTGTCGACTCAGCTCCTCCAGAGCATCAACTTCCTGCTGGATCAAAGACAAATCTACAGCGAGGAAAGTCAGGGATCACAGCAGCTAAGATTTTTTTCAGGATAGTTAGCAGGAATCTAAAATATAGAGATGCTTGCATCCAAGCATGAAGGATACTTTCACTGCCTGTTTGTGTAGAGGTGACACTCTTGATCATGCCCCAGAAACCAGTCTGTTTGTTTTGGTCCTCCCCTCGTTGGTACATCTGCCTCCTCGTCATGGCGATTCTTGAGAGACAAAATAAAGCGTTATTTTACTTTTTGCAGAAAGAAAAAATGGTTTGAAGATCAAGAGGGGGTGTAAAATCATTATTCTCACCGTTTCTTTTTGCTGACAATCATATCCATGGTTTGGAGTAACCGCCTCTCCAGAGCAAGAATGTCACTATCTGTTACATTTCTGCGAAAACAACAAAAGCTAACTGTGAAGACACACTGCCACCTTCTGCTTGAACACTGCAAAGAAACAGCCGACGGGCCGAACCTGAGGAAATAGGACATGTATGTGTATGGACAGTTGACGGCACCAAACCCTGAGAGGAGAGCCATAAGGGTGACTCCGATCACACCGACACGACTGATGAGCTGCTCAATGGACAGAATCCCTGCACAAAATCAATCAGAAAGAGACACTAAAGACACTAAAGAAAGAGACACAGAAAGAGACACTAAACAACAAACAGCTCATAAACTTCACAGATGAATGATGGTGCAGAACCTTGCAAATGGCCTCTTTCACATTTTGCCACATTACAATTGCAAACCTCAGTGTATTATAATGAGATTTTATGTGATAGACCAACACAAGTATCACATAGCTGTGAAATGGGAGGAAAACAATCCTCGGTTTTAAAATGGTATTTTTTTTTTTTTTTTTTTTTTTCCCCAAAACAGATATTTAAAATGTGAAGTGCAATCTGTGGATTGTAGAAAGATCTCTCCCTGCATGACAGATACAAGTCTTTTGTGGTACTTCTGACAGTTGTGACTGAAATTTTTCCCCAAATTCATTTTTGAAAATCCTCTACTGGCATTCGGACTGGATGAAGTGTTTATGAACATAATTTTTCAGGTGTTCAAATGTTTTAATTTAAACTATTCTGTTTCTTTGGCTGTATGTATAGAGTAGCTGTCCTGTTGCAAGATGAACCTGCACAATGAATCTAGGCAAAACATTTAAATGTAGGTCAAATAAGAGCAGTATACTTTCTGTTCCCTACATTACTTGAGGCAAACTCCAGGCCATTCATCGGCTTTCTTCTGGACTCTCTGTTATAAAGATGCTGTTTGTTCAGAAATGTTCTCTACCAAACCTCCAATGCCTTCATATTTACTATTTAGCTGGGCTCTAAATGCGATTGAGTTAAATATAACACCAGATTTCAATTATTATTATTTCAGAAAAAAATAAAAGCAGTTTCCTTTCCCTTCCATATCTCATGTATGCACTTCTTTGTTTGTTTATGACATAAACTCCACTGAATTTCCTTAGAAAATGTGAAAAATCCTTAAAGGATGTGAATACATTGGCATGACACTAACACGGCATGAAATGCAACATTTTGATGAAGCCTCGTTTACTCACCATGTTTTGGACTCAAGATTGGGAATGGGTCTCCTAACTTCCAGAAGAAATACATGAAGGTAAACCAAACCATACAGGCAAAAAGGAGTTTTTGCCTCTGCACTGATAAGACAACAAGCAAACAGTTCACTATTAGAACAGCACCTTCAAATGTTAAAAGTTTTGTTTGTTTGTTTTTCTTGAACTTACACAATCGTATGTTGCTGACAACAAAGTAACCGATATAAAAAGGCACCACAAAGATTAGAACCAGCAGAATCACATACAGATTCAACTTCCAGTGGAAATACCTGGAACTGGGACAAAATGTGATGATGAACAAATTGTATCTGTTTTAACCAAGAGATCAGGCCTTTTCCCTAAAAGTAAATATCACTTACGTGCTGCTTAAGGCCCCAAGAATCTCAAAAATGATAAGCTCGAACATTGTACAGGAAAACGCAAAGGTGACAGAAAAAACCACCTGGACAACATACTGTCGCACCTGAAAACAAAAACACAGTTTGACTGTAAAACATTTACAAGTCTGCTAAAGAAGAGAAACCTCTAATATCTGTATCTGTTGTGTTTCTTTTTATTAGAATCAATATGTTATGTCTTAAACAAAAACCAGTTGGATTTTAGAGACATAAATTACTAATGCTGCAAATGGAATAACACCTTACCTCATAATCTTTGAACAGTTGCCGCATAAAGAACAACCAACCAAACCCAAAAAACAGCACCTGGACGAAATATGCAAAAAAAAAAAAAAAAAAGTTGATGGTAAGTACAAAGACACTCAGTAACTTCATATATGAAGTAGTTTGAAAAACCTTATGAAAATCAGGTTCAAACCCAATCTAGATTAATTCTTCTACTTCACATTAATTCAATACAGTCTAATTTCTTAATGATTATCATATAACAAGTTGATAAACAACAACATCATAAAATGCTAATTGAGCTGGTAAAAACACTGCATTATCAAACTTTACTTATGAGAAACCATATAGTTAATGTGGATAATACCGATCATATTTCATCTTGAAATATCTTAGAAGAACTGGACCCATGTCCTAAAAATCTAAGTTAACTACAGAAAAGTATACTTCTTCCAACCGATTACCTGAGAGGTGAACATGATGACTGAGTCCACCAGAAACGACATGATGATTATGATGTGAGTTAAACAACCTCAAACACTTCGAAAAACCCCAGTGCTGCAAAGTGCAGGCCAAGATTAGTTCATTTTAACCCCAAGGACAAAAACACAGTCTTTCTTAAAAGTGAACCGTGTGTTATGTATCTAACATTTTGACACTTGTTTAGCTGTCAAGCTACAACAGCAAGTCGTCACCAACATACTTCCGTCGCAGGGATACTACGTCATTCGCCATTCAAAGTAAGGAAAACAAATAAAAAGGTTCAAAAACTTAAGTCAAGATAACAAAGCATAAAATAATAAAACAGACTATTATAATCACTTATTATCATTTGTAATTTTAAAACAGCACGGTCATAGACATAGACCGTTCGTTAATATCGCCGCCATATTGTGAGTGTAATTGTTTCCCGGATATATTTAACTATGCATAGGTTTTAAATTAATCATTTATTTTATACGTTTTATTTTTATGCTTAGTTTAGAACTATTTTACGCGCATCCGTTTAATATTTGTTGTTCTCTTATTTTGATTTTCAGAATTATTATTATTATTTATTTTTTTTTATTTTTTTTTTGCGGTTAATATCAACATATTCAGTACTGGCACGAACATGTATATGAAACTAACATTACAATTAATACAAACAGTGTTTCTTATGAGAGGCCCCTCATATTTTCTTCAGTCGTAAAAACGTAGTTTATAATAGTTGATTTTCAAAACGTTGCCACTCACAATATGGCAGAAGCGCCGTCAGCAACAGCAAATGTTTTTATTCATTTATTGTTTTAACCTTTTCTCTCCAAAGTGAAATAAATAAATAAATAAATAAATAAATTTTCTTTGTTTATTGTGTATTTTTAAATTCTAACACAAATCTCAAAAATAAAATAAGCTGCTTAGGATTGACTATTTTGATCATTTTATATATCTCTATTTTCTATTGTCTTATCAGCTATGCGTATATGTATATTTTAAAATAAAAATATAAGTAGATAAATAAATGAACAAATAAATATATTATTTTTCGAGATCTTATATTTGCGCGTAATGTATGTACCGTGACACCAGAGGGCGCCGTGGAACCAAAACTTTCATTCCTCATCGCGGACTACATTTAATTTGGGTAGTGCGCCTTTAGTGTCCAGTGCTGCCTGCGGTTAGAGTATCAGTCCGAGGGGAGCGCAGCAGCGAAACACTTGGAGGAACAGAAACTATCGCATGCCGATGCTGGATTATAAGGATGCAGGAGATGATGCAGAGGTAGACCGTCTTAAGCTGTTGGCTTTTCACATTTGTAACAAGAGGCATAAGGTGAGTCTCTGTTAACTGATACAACTTGTAGAAGAAATGTTATTGTGAACTCTGATTTGTTCTCTTGATTAATAAAGAACTAAAAGTTTTTAGTTTAACAGTTTTTAGTTTAGTGTATCTTATATTTCAAAATGGGATTAAAATGTTGGCAGTTGAGAAAAATATGCTGAACTTATAAATGCACTTTATGCTTCAAGGTTCTATAATGAACTAAAGTGCAAATAATTGTTATATGCTGGCTCGGTGTACAATATTTTACATGGAACACTGGCATACGGAGTTAAAGCAGATGCAATCATAAAGAATGTGGAGTAGAAACAGAACAGCTTCATAGTTGAAGATACAAAAAATATATAAAATAATAACAGATAGCTGGATTTTGATCATTTTGACTCACTGAGCTGAATATTGTTTGCTGGCAAATTAAAGCATCCAGAAGCTTGACTAAAAACTGTGTGGACAAACCAAATGCCTTCTGGAAAGGTGGGGTTTATTGGCAAAGAGGACAACGATTGAACCCTTTGGTCAGAATAATAAAGAATAATGTTTTGTCATGAAATGGGAAGGTGAGACTTTAATAATGCCGTATTAACTGTAAAACATGGTCTTCATAGCTTCATACTGTAGGGCGTTTTTCCTGGTGCATGGTAAGAGGTTGATGGAAACTACTGCCTAGAAAATATGTAACTTCACTTCAAATAAAATCAACAGCAAGATGGATTCAACTTGGACATTAGTAGCTGTTTCAAAACATCAGTGATTCCAAATACACATAAAAAACTGGTTTTGGAAAGGATTATGATCTGTATTTTCCACTTAAAAGTCCTGATGGTAATCCTGTGAAACATTCAATCTGGATCCAGAGACCAACTAGTTCACATGTGTTCTAGCATTGTCAAGAAACGCAGTCAAAAATTGATTTATGATTATAAAAAAAAATCTATTCAGGTCATGATGAGAGGTCTTTCTATTTTTCCTCAGTGAGAACGATGATGATCCCTGTCACATGTAGAATAGGTCTGCAGGTGTCTTTTCTCCTCCTCTTAATTGGACAAACACATGGTGAGTAGGGGCATGCAAAGTCAAACCAATAAAATACTAAAAAACATTAAAAAAAACTACTCCCGCTCTCCATTTGCAAAATATTGATTTCAGGTAGAGTGACGGCGCCGGCACGTTTGAAGGCACCAGTGGACAAACCCTTTACACTTACCTGCACGCTGTCAAAGGACCGTGGTGAAACTTTGAGGGAGGTCCGTTGGCTGGATGACAAGAATCAGACCCTGCTGAGCTACCAGCCAGGTAACAGAGACAGCGTGAGTGGACAGCAGCATGTGGAGCTCGCCACCTCACCAAAGGACTCCTCAGCGATCACCATTCGCAGGGTGGGCTTCCGTGATGAAGGCTGCTACACCTGCATCTTTGAGCTCAGTCCTTCAGGTTCAAAGCAAGGACAGACGTGTCTCACTGTTGACGGTAAAGGAAATATTTATAATTATTTTGAGTCTGATAAGGTTGGGAACACAAGTACTTTGCATTTAGGATAAAATATATTTATTAAAGATGAGATAGACACTAGTATAGCTCAGAAGCTAGGAGGAGATTATAATCTAGGGGAAAGGTAGAAGAGAATGGACAGAATAAGTTGTTTGACTCAATGGAGGAGCAATAATTAATGCAGCTTTAATAATCATAGAACCTGATTTGTGGATGCATAAGGGAAAGATTCATTAAGATATTTCACATACGAGTAGCTTATATTGAAGCTACTCAATATAAATTTTGGTAACAATTTACTAATAGTTACCACAATCTGACTATATTTTTAGCATGAAGGAGAAGTATTGCATGATTTTGCATCAGTACTGTGAACACAGCTGAAAGCAGATAAAAATGCATCAGAAAGATCCAATGACTGAACCCTGTGTAACTCCATAATAAATGATCCCTTCCATCTCATTTATTATTTACTGGTACTAAGCAATCGTGATATTTATGTTACATAGATGACATTGTGCAGAAGGAAGAGTCATGAACTGGGTGTGTAAAACCTCCACTCGAAACCTGAATGAGTTACAGTCCCAGTGATAGTAAGAAGAGATAAGCTGACAAACGGACATTTTTTTTTAAAACTGTAAGCTCTCGCGTTGTGAAGCAAGTTGTCCTCTGTTTGGCACAGACAACATTCACATCTGTTAGAGCGATAGATTTGTTAGGAAAGTCTTTTACGAAAGAGTAGCCAATATGAACGAGGGATAAGTTGGCTGAAGACAGAGCTCTCACAAGAGTGTCAAAAAAAACGGTGGTCTGCATTCAGTCTTCATAGTCGCTGTCCCTGTTAATATTCCATCGCTTGATTGATTTTGGATGCTTTCCCTTTTGCACTCAAGGCTTAAAACTGAAAACATGCGAACACACGTGTTCCCAACCGCTGTTAACCTCTGACCAGAAACTGATGAGCGTGCTGAGTCCGGGCCAGTCATGTTAATAAAGAGCTGTGCAGCAGTGGGAGAAGGGGAGCTTAAGCTCCTAAGCAGAAACAGCTGGGCCAGATTCCACTGAGTGGTTTCTGTTTGGGTACCTCATATTCCCAATATTAACATTCTCCTTTACGCGCCCCTCGTCTCCCAGCTATGTTTATTGTCTTTTCTGCCCTCAGCTGATCCTTTGTGTTTCATTCGCAGCCGAAGTCACATCAGAGAGAAACAAAACAGCAGTGAGCGGCAAGAAGGCGTCCCTGTCATGCTCCTTTGGTTTGCCCGAGAAGGTGCAGCAGATACTGTGGAAACACACACCTGCTCAAGGTGAATCGACAGAGGTGGCCTCTTTCGCGAAGCGGAGCGACCCCATGATCGAGCCAGCTTATCAGGGGAGAGTCTGGCTCTCTGCTTCTCTGTCAGACAGTCAGCTTACGATCCAGCCTGTCGCCATCCAGGATGAGGGCTGCTACACCTGCTTCTATGAGACGCACAGCGAGGGGACAAAGAGCTCTGTGGTCTGTCTCTCTACCTACGGTAAATGTCTGCTTTTCAAGTTCGCTTTTACCCGTCGACATAAACGCTTCAACAATGCAACATTAGGTCAAAACGTTTGTTTCCCCGTCTTTTATCAAGTTCCAGGAATTGAAAAAATAATTTTCGCAATAAAGATGTAGCAAATATTTCCATCAAAATGTCTTCTTGAGCACATTTGGGATTTGTCCTAAAAATTAAAAACTGAGTTACGCTGGTTGCTAAGATAGACTGTGTGTGTTATTATTATTTTTTTTTTGGTTTCTTTTTATGCCAAAGTCACTTACATTTGAATAGGCATTGTTTTAAGTTAAGTAGAAAAATGTGAAACTTAGGAAATGTGACAAAAGGGAATTCAATACATGACCTATTTCTTTCTAAATCGAGTCATTTTAGTCAAATTATTTATTGCAGTTACATTGCTGATACTTAGTAAAGCAGGGCTTCTTTACTTTGGCACAGTTTCTGATACAACAATTTGCAAAACATGCATATTTCTTCATTCATCTAGTGCAATCTCCTTCAGTCTCAGTCACATTTACCTTTCACACAATAACTGAAACACATAATCTTAAGATTTCCCTGAGTTGCTCCAGTGGAGATGATGCTCTCTGTGATGAATCTCTCAATCTGTTGAATTCCTCCTCAATACTGAAAAGCACAAAAGGAGGAGGGTTTCTTTCTCTTTCTACTTATCACAGTTTAAGGCTTTAGAAAGATAAAGTCTTAAACTGAATTTGCCTCCAAATTCAGGCACATTCAGTGGGCAACATTACATCGATCACGTTTTGTAGCTAAGGTGAAATTTTAAGAAAAAATTTACAGTTTGGTGGTGTTACAAAGTACCTTTTTGGCACTGGGAACGTCTTTTTTTTTCATAAAATTACCCAGCTAACTCACACATATGTTGGATAATTTATATTTTCAGTGGCTGGTGCTAAATCCACTTATCCCAACATAGTTTTTTTTTTTTTTTTTTTTTTCATCATTTCTGCTTTATTTTATTGTTATTTAAAACAAAATTTTCAAGTGGAGCGGTTTTCACTGAACCCGAGAAGCAAGGACCGACTGCCAGTTTTAGATTTTGGGGTTTCGGATATTAATGTTAAGATTATCTTCCTTCTCAATGCAAGATGCTTTAATGATGCAGCAGCGACACCAGAGTTCTCTAGACCTGCTTCCACACAAACACTGAACAATAATGTCAACGTGCAGAATGGAGCATTCGAAAGAATGATGGAGGCAGGGAGTGACGTCCTGATGCATGACTGTGTCAGTGTTCGCCGCACAGTGATTCCCTCTGTGCTTTGTCTGCCTCTCCTTTGTGCTCTTTTGGATTTCAACTTTTCTCCCGTTCCCTTTATCTTCCATTAGTTTCAAGGAACAGATGTGCTTTTGTTTGAAACTGAAATGTACAGTACAGTATTTTATTTTTTTATTTTTTTTTTACTTATGACTATGCATGATTAACATTTTTTTTTTTTTTTCATTCCTGCCGCCTGTTTGTGCCAATATTCTTCTTGGATTCTCTCCACATTGGGTGACATAATGACCTCTGCTGTTTTTTCCCCCCCTGACTTTCAAACAATCTGTGAACAGCGATGACCAACACAAACACAAACCTAGCATTAATCATCCTGCGGTGACAGCATGAACCTGAAACCTGGAAATTACAAGCAGATCCAGAAATACTAACACAAACGCATTGGGTTTTATGGTGAATATTTGGACACAGAGTACAAATATTTCAGCCTGTAAAAAACAGTCAAAAGTTTTAGTTTTAACTTTGAACACTAGAGTTAGTGGGAGATATAATTTTAAATCTTCCATTCACAATGTATGTGCATCTGCTGAACTACTTCTCAGTCCAACATTCATAAAAAATGGTACTAAACAGCAAAAAATAATAAATTGTTGTGATGATGTGCCACACCGTTGAAAAGAGATGGAGCTTTTTAAAGAGACATGGGCCCAATTTGAAGTCGTCAAATTGCAAATCCAAATGTCTTTTAAGTCATGTTTGATATATACAGCATTTTTACAACAACTGAAAATAATTTAATTGCATTACGTGTGTGGAAAATACAAAATACAGCCCTTTTTATCCTTCCACCTATTGCAGCTGAAATTACTTCTTTGATTTCTGGGCGCTGCTCTTTGGAAAATTCTCTGGTTGGAAGATGAATCGCCACCCGAGCCTGATGTCCAAGTTTCACAATATGCATGGTGTAAGCCAAGTAATAGGCAGGGCTTGAGTTTCTCTAGACAGAATGTTTGAAGTTCAGGCCCAAATATCTTTAGGCCTGAACAGAAGAAGAACACAGTTCTGTTCTTCTTCTGGTCTGAGAATCTCTGAAATGTGTTTCTGTGACGTTCAAGCGAGCTACCACAGCCATTTGTCCACTCTACCATAAAGGTCTTTGGAGTACATGAGCAGTGGTTGAGAGTCTGGAAGCAAAAAACCAAACCTCTGGCTAAGAGATTATTGGGTTTTTGGTCTCCTCTGTACTCCGAAATGCACTGGCATCAGTGAGTCCTTATATAACGTGCGATTCATTCCAGCCCTTGTTCAGTCATAGAAACATATTTTACGAGAACAAAATGAACCTGAGCTTAATTCTGAGTAACAAGGGAAAGCTTTTTTAATAGTCATGCATATGACATTTTACTTGTTGATTATAATTTTTTTAGAAACTTTTTATTCATTCTCATTGTAGGGTAGCCGGTGTTGAATTTTGCGTGGAAAGAAAAGTAATCAATTTTGGCTAAAACGTAAAATGTTCAAAAAGTGCCGTGAGTTTTTATCAGACACACTATATGTGAGCATGTTTAAATAAACTATCACGTTTCAACAATATACCATAATACGACATCCGTTATTGTGTGTTAGCATTAGGTTATGTATTTCTTTCAAGTTGAAAGAATACTCTTTAAATTGTATGCTGAAAAATGTATATATGGTGTAACATTATTTAATAACAACCCGCTATGAACATAATAGCCTTCCCGTAATAATCCACATGACGTTTTCATGGCTTGGTTTTTGATCTGAATTTTCGTTCCTGTTGTTCCAAACCACCCTCACAATCCGATGTTATCCAGACCAAAGGTGGGAGAAGTTCCTCAGTCAGAATACTGAAAGGAATCTATAACCATGAGAGCCAAATAACTGTGGCTGAACGCGTTCTTTGCCAAGAAAAATGCTCCCCATTCCAGTGCCTCGCATTCCTCACCCAGCCTCGAGAACAAGGAATTGAAAACAGTCTAAGATTTAGTGATGGATTTTAAGAAAACAAGAAGAGGAACTTTTATCCCAGGTGTCATGCCCATGATATATAATCACAAACTATTCGAAGACATGAGTATAGGCAGTTAATATGGCAAAACGATACATTTAGGGACTTAAAACAACTTGCTGTCTGTTGTTATTTTGTCCTAGTATAATAGAACATTTCTTAAATTTGAGGACAGGCTTCGTAGCCTTTTCTTTCATTTCTCTCTTGGTTTTCATTGTATTTTTTTTTTCAGTTCTTCCAAAACCTCAGGTGAGCTACAAGACCACGTCTCCAGGCGTGATCGAAGCCAACTGCACGTCTGTATCTCGGCCTCCTGCAGAGATTGTGTGGAATGTGGAGACGGACAACCGCACCATTGGCCCCCCTGTGACAGTGCATCTGCGTCAGGATGACGGGACCACGCTAGTCATCAGCACGCTGACCGTCCAATCAGGGCTGCTGAAAGACGTGTCTGTCAAATGCTTGGTGCATCACAAGGGGCTCGAGTCACCCATCGCTGTATCCATGAACACTAAGAGTAAGTTATCAGCAAACATCTGCATCTTTGTTGGTGTTATGTCCTTTCTGCAGGTAATATGTTAACAAGTATCACCTTTTTAATGCAGTTTTGTTGATTTAAGTAAATGGATACATATGATTGCAGCAGAAAACTGCTGCGACATTACTTGGCTGCCTTTCTTTCTGCTTTATCGGCCACAAAAACGATCTGAAATAATAATCCATTAAATTTGAAATGTTTTAGTTTAGATCTTCCCACTAAGAACTGCTGAACTGGTTGCTTCTTTAAAAAAAAAACATGTCAGTAGAAGTACTTTTAAATTTGACAGTATCCAAACAAATTAATATCCGACAATGACATAGAAAGATTAATTTCATTTTTTTGTGTCATTTATCAAAAGAGAAGCATCGTTTATGACATATTTACTCATAAACATAAATCAAACTTTGAATGTTTTTTTTAGCAGATCAAATTTGCATCACTGTTGTGATATGTTAAATTATCTATCAAGCATAAAATAACCCAAAAGGTTAAATCATTTTATATTTCACCTACTCTTTTTTTTTTATTTTATTTTCTAGTTTGAACAGATCCTAACTATTTTATACCAAGTGAACTGAAAGCAACAATAAATAAGAGAATAGCTGTGATAAAAAAGCAACACTGACATATAAATAAGAAAACTTAACAAAACACTTAGAATTTAGACTTTATTCCCAGTAGAAATAAACAACTTGTCTCTTGAACAGCACTTAGAAATGCTTCTCTGGAACGATGTGGTTTCCTAGTATCCTGGAGGGGTAGGAAAAACGTTTTAGTTGAATTTATTCGACTGCTGTCCTTTGCCGTGAAATAGCCTTAAGTGAACCAAACTGAGAAATATACTTTCAAAAAAGGAAGACTGTGTAGCGGACACATGGAGATTTAGATGTATCAGCCATGCTATTTCTGCAGGTGCTTTGCCAATCTAAACTTCAAATTATTTACAGCTTCAAGTTGAGTGTGATATAAGACTCTAAACCGGTATTCATATTTAGCTCATGCATCACTGCTTTGGCTTTTGCCAGCCTTAAATCTACCTCAATTCACAGGGTCAAGAGTGCAAAAGGAGAGCAGTTGGACGGTTAACACTATAAATTTAACCTGCAATTGAATTACTGATGACCTGAAACGGAGCAGCAGGGTTCAGATTAGTGCAAAACAGACTGCGCACATTTCAGCACGTCAATTACATTAAAGAATTACATGTTTTACAGTTCATGGCAAGTAATGAATCTCCTGATCAGGCCTGTCTTTTCTCCTTTTCAGTTGGCACGGCTCTCACCATCCTGATCTCGGTCACCACGGTCGCAGCTCTGCTGGTGATGTCCTTGTGCTTCTGCCTTTGGAAGTGTTTTTTGCGTAAAGAAGGTGAGGGCATGTTTGTGCAGGTTTTCTAATGCATGAAGGGCGTCTCCTAATAAAAGAAATACCCTTCGAAGCTAATTGATGTACTTACATTGTGGAGCAAGCTGCCTTAAATCTGATTTTATAAGTTAAAGATCAATAATATTTCAGGAGTTTTCAGGGGAGGAACAGAAAGGTAATAAATTCCCCTAATGCTTCCAACAGACTTGCTCTGCAAATATTCTTTCTAGCATGAGGTTTTATTTTAAAATAAACAGAATATAATATCTGGGCTTATTCTAGTGTGTTGTTTGGCAAACAACCCCAGAAACAATAAAACAGCAGATTCCTGTTCAGATTCACTTCGGTAACTGTACATATGTTGTTACTGGCCAGAAAAGCAAGTTTCAGTGAGCAGTAGGTGTGTCCAGTCATGTTCACTTTAAAATAACCTAATGTGTTGACATTGGGTGACTTTTCATTACGATGAGCTAATATGCTGTAATATATATATATATATATATATATATATATATATATATATATATATATATATATATATATATATATATATATATATATATA